GGGGTCACACTCATAAGTTTTAACGTCACTGGTACGAAATGTACAATGGCGCCATTCCTTCTCTATTCCTTTTATATCAAGCTTTTTTTCTTACTGAGCTCTTAATTTAGGCTTGGGCTTAGCCAAAGAAGACGCCTGGCATTGCCAGAAAAGGGGAAGGGAACTTCAAGTGGTGGGGGGATGGCTTTAATTTAACTTATAAAATGTTTGATTGCAAGACCATATCTTAAAAACTTACATGTAAAGACATCTAGTTCCTTGTCTCAATGAACAAGCCATGATTTAATCTATTACTTACTTGGGGTTGTTTATAACACATGTATGAGTGTACGTGTGTGAGTAAATGAGTGTTTCAGCTGCGTATTATATGTGCGTGTGCGTGTGCGCGCGCTCGTGTGTATGTGTGTGTGTGTGTGTGTGTGTGTGTGTGTGTGTGTGTGGGGGGGGGGGAGTATTTTTCAGTCTGAATGTACTCCATTAAAGCAGAAATTTACTGCCATAAAGAATTTCCGGCAAAGGGCAAATAAAGAATCCTATCTTATCTTACAATGGTGTTAGGACGCAAATGAAAACAGAACAAACAGGATATCCTGCTAGTCACTCAATCATGGTGCGTATCTATATTATAGACATACGATTATTTATCAACTTTAGGCGTTATCTTAGTGTACGGGCGTACATATGGACTAAACATGACCCTATCGGCGAATCCAAATAAAGAAATGCGTATTATTTTTGATAAAATTGATGTATCGCTATCCAAAAATTACAAAGCTCTATCTTTTCAGTACCTAGTTTTGAGAAATTTGACGTCAAAATTTTTGAGTTTCACAAAATGCTAAGCTTTTTCGAATATAATTATTTAAATATCTTGATAACGATTCCGAATAATCTTACCATTTTGACAGAGCAGATAGAACATTTGGTTTCTGACACCATGGTCTTAGTTACTCAAACTACCAAAAATGTCAGATAGAACTATGTAATTCTAAGGTAACCATATTATGCTTAACTACAGCAAAGACAATCGGTCAAGTTTTGAAAACACTGTGACTCACAGCTGGTGGGTGCGACCTTCAAAGTTTTATAACGTACGATCCAATCCTAATACTGTTGTTTTTTTAAATAGATTTTGCGTTGGATTTTTACGGCCCTATTGGCACAATTTAGATCTATCAGGAGGTGGGCTTCCGACCCCTACCTGCCAGGGCCAACCCGGTCTGAGAGGGATACAACGTCCGATCAGAAAGTCAGGGCTACCCGATAAGAATTTTCTCTTCTCTCGGGAATCGAACTCGGGTCTCCTGTGTGCGGAAGTGAAGCTCCTAAACTTTGCACCATAGACGCCCTACCGTGCTCGTGTCTACCCAACTTTATCAAACATGTGGCGAGGTGGCGTATGTCATTTAGGGCAATGGTAAGTCGCCAACATAAAGAAAGACACCCGAACCTTGTATAGTTCCAGTTTTGTTCTCGTTCACATCCTTGCCAATGTTCATACGATACTGATTTTGTTATTCCACTTGTGGTTTGAGGGTGCTCGTGTGGGGTCTGTCAAAGATCGTAGTGTGCGATCTTCGGGTCGGTTCTCTTTTTTTTTCATATCAATCTATCATCCTCATCTCACCTCCTCATTTTCTGTGTATGTTACTCTTAATTAACACCTCTGATCTTCGGCGCTTAAATGACCCATTTGTGTTAAAAGTGCTATAACACTATACCTAAATGACTAAAATTACGAATATTTCTGTCACCTGTAGTATAAATAGTTAGGCTCTTCGTAGTGCTCCCAGAAGATGCAAGTTTGCTTACCATGTTTAGAAGTCATTTTCTCAAGAATCTCTGTCGTTTTGTTGCAGGGCTGCATAACAGGTAGAGTTGATTGAGCTTTCCTTGAGAAATATATAATTTGTGTTGAAGATTTACAATCTCTGAATGGGAACAAAATAAAGGTTTTGTCTTTGAATCATTTTTACACAACTAACAGAGATACATATTTTATCAAGAACCGGTACTTCTGTCTCTTTATAAGGATGGTGTATCTCACATGTGGCGTCGATGGCCTAGTGGTTAGGCTGCCGGACTCGTAATTTTGAGGTTGCGGGTTCGGGGGTTCGAGCCGCGGGCCCGAATTTTCCTCACTCCACCCAGGTGGGAATTGATACCCGGCCACAGACAGGCAAAGATCTTGTCAGTTTGTTAGGGTTTTAACGCCTATAAATGGTTGCTTGCACTGTATGCTTCCCAGGAAGTTGATGTTTTTTTCAGAATGCTCTCAGGTCTGCTGGGGTAATAGCATAGATTGTGGAGCGCATAGATATATTGCTGTTGAGCGGGGGTTAGCGCTATACAAATTATTATTATTATTATTATTATTATTATTATCATTATTACTTTTTGCAGATTATCCGTGGCGTCTCTTTTTTTTGACTGAGTCAAGTGGTTTTGAGCCTTAAAAAAATAAAACTAAAACAGTCCAAGTTCAAAATACCCCTTCTAAGGTTCATGATAATACCAACTGAGCTGAATGTGGGCTCGACGCGCGGGCTCTTAATATCAGCTCAGACAAATATTGTCCATAACCTTGCCCCCGTTATTTTCATGAACTGATTTGTTCTATAGTTACTATCGCCCTAATCTTCTTCATGAGAGATAAATGGACGCAGACTGTTGTTTCTTCCTTTCTAAAACATGTAATGGATACGTTTGATCTGCCGTTTATCATTGATAAAATGCTTGAAATTGACTCTCTAAACAGGCCTACTGACCTGGCATCCGATGTAAAGGTAAAAACAAGACTTCTCATACCATGCTACGTTTTTATCGTATGTTTTTGCTGTTATCGGTCCACTGTTAAAATGTTTGAACGGTCTCAGGGAACAACTTATCAAAGCAACTTTGTTTAGAATGGACACGGTTGGCTTTTTCACCGAGGCATGCCCATCTCATTACAGGCTTTGTGTCTGGTAATATAATCTTAAATACAATTAAAGACTCTGACGAGCAAGAGAGATTTAGAAAGTAGTATCTCAAACGAAACATGAGAACTAATAACCACAGTGTCAAGATTTCTTCTTTAATTTTCATCTCAGTAGCCCTTTCGTGAGTCAGAATCTGAGGCAAGGGATGGAGCAGTTACCGGTGTATCCTGGTTGTCAAGAAGCGACGGTTTCTCTTCAAACTAGTTCAAGTAACCAGTTTCACCAAAAAGAAGGGAAATGTGAGACCAAAAAAAACTTATGATAGAGGCACCCAGGCGATAACTAATTCTTAATTCATTGCTTCTATTGTTTTGAAGTGAGTCATCTGCCCAAAAGGCTTTTAGCTAACCAAACCAATTCCCGGGAAGGTTTTTGTTTTTTAGTTATGTTTGGGGCTTGGGGTTTATGTTGTTTGTTTGTTTGGGGGGTGGTTGTTTTTGTTTTGTTTTGTTTGGTGGTTGTTGGGTTTTTTTGTTGTTGTTGCTGTTGTTGTTGTTGTTGTTGTTGTTGTTGTTGTTGTTGCTTTGTAGTTGAGATGCTGTGAATTCCTCTTTGCGAAAATATAATTTGTGTCCCCTTTAAAAGAAAGGAAAAACGTAATTAAAATCGACCTCACAAATGTTAATACTTTAGGCAGAAGTAAGATTGTGAGAAAAGTTATAGCTAGGACTATTTCAAATGTATAGCGATAACTCTTTTAGTAGTGTCATATTGCACTGGAGTTGTATATAACGTCGAGTTGACAAGATAATGACCTTTTGTTGCCAGGTACACACTCATTGTGATACTTGAAACACTAACCAGAAGAAGTGAAGGGAGTATTCCAAACCAATACAAAGTGCGAGGTTGAAAATGAATCATCTATTTTTTTTAAAATAGCACTTTG